CAAAAGCAAGAAACCAAAATAAGACTTCCCCTGCAAAACAAAGATAAATGCGAAAAGCTATTATAAGAAAGAGGTGAAACATTCTGTAAAATAGAAGTAAAATGAGTGAATAAAAAATTGATGAACCGAAGAGGGAAAACGGTTACCAAGTATAAAGATTGAGCTCGATTTGTACAGAACAAAAAAAAACCGTTCAGGAACCTGAAAATCAATCGTTCATCATCGTTTCCATAACTTAAGCACACACGGCTGAATTATCAAATACACTGGATTTCCCTGCCTCGAATTAGTTTGAAATTTGGCAATACTGTGCGATTTGTACATAATCTGCGTTACGACTGACACTAAAAAACTGTTAAGCTACTTATGAAGGCCAAGGAAACCACATTAGACGAGCCGGTCTAAACAGAGATTTCATGAGAAGACGCACACTTCATTCTCTAAAAAATATTTATGGAGGTATTTGTTAGATTTGCAATGGAATTTTATTAAGATCATGAAAGTTAAAGGCCTAAAATTGAGTTCATTATTTTATTTTGCAGACTATGTTCAGTTTAAGTCAAGTTTTAAGTAACAAATCTTTGCCAAAATCTAAGACTATTTGGAGGTTAAATCCTCTGGCTTTGAATGTCCAGTGCAAAACATTTCAGTTTTGTAAAGCGGGAAAGATTGTTTCTAAATTTATTTTTTTACTACTAACCTTTTACACAAGAAGCTTTTCTTGTTTGATATTCTAGTCGTATGACTGATGAAACCAAAAGCAAGAAACCAAAATAAGACTTCCCCTGCAAAACAAAGATAAATGCGAATAGCTATTGTAAGAAAGACGTGAAACCTTCTGTAAAATACAGGTAAAATGGGTGAAAAAAAATTGATGAACCGAAGAGAGAAAAAAGGTTACCAAGTATAAAGATTGAGCTCGATTTGTACAGAACAAAAAAAAAGGTCGTTTAGGAACCTGAAAATCAATCGCTCATCATCCTCTCCATAAATTAAGCACACAGGGTTGAATTATCAAACAGACCAGATTTCCCGCCTCCAATTAATTTGAACATTAGCAATACTGTGTGATTTGTGTATACTCTGCGGTTTAACTGACACTGAAAAACGTTAAGCTGCTCATGAAGGACAAGGAAACAACATTAGAAGAGCCGGTCCAAACGGAAATTTTATGAGAAGACGCAACACTTCATTCTCTAAAAATATTTTCTGAGATATTTGTTACATTTGCAAAGGGGACTTAGTGAGATCATGAAAGTTAAAGCCCTAAAATTGAGTTCATCATTTTATTTTGCAGACTAAGTTCAGTTTAAGTCAAGTTT